GCCATTCTGTTGGGAAGGATGCGGCCTGAGCCCAGGTGCTAGCGGGCCTATGTGAGGGATTGGGCAGGGCCTCTGCTCGTGGGGCCCCTGCCAGGCTAGGTCTGAGGGGCTCTGCTTGGCTTCCTGCCATGGGCCTTTCCCGAGTGCTCCGTGTGGGTGGGCTCCACCTTAACCTGTCTGAAATGCCTGCTGGCAACTCGGCCGTTTCAGTCTACCCACTCCCGGGAAAAGGGCCCTGCAGAGGGCTGGAGTCAGGCAATCACGCCGTGTCGGTGTCCGCATGCCCGAGAGAACAAGAAAGCTGCTCCGCCTCCCGGTGTTCTGTGCTCTCCCCGGAGGGCACATCCGTGGGAGGGCTGGGCGCTTCCTAGGGGGATCGTGGGGCCACCCCTGTGAGGTGGGTACTTACAGCCCCTTGACACGTGAGCAGACTGAGGTTTAGTGTGTCTAAGGGAATTACCAAGGTCGTGGTGTGGGTAGATGGCAGAAGAGGGACAGAGACCAGATCCATGTGATTCGAAGACTGTCCTCTTAACCTCTGTCCCATCCCGGTAGGGAGCGGAGGTAGAAGTTACTTGAATGCGTGTTGATTTCCTTCCGTGGATGCCATTTATTCCTTATTCTGAAAGAACACTTACGTTCATTTCCTTTTTCCTCTCAAGGAGTAAGTATGAGAGTTGCCTTCTCCACCTTGCAGATTTGGAAACTGAGGCCCAGAGACGGAAGTGATTTGCCCAAGTTCACTTGGAGAGTTGGGGCAAAAACTTGTGAACGAGACCCTGGCCTCCCAACCTCTGGCTCAGTGCTGTTTCTGCTGGTCCTTGTTGCCCCTTTGCCTGCTGGGGACTAGACAGCCCGTTGGATGACCCCTGACCCCTTGTCACAGAGTTCATGCTGCTTGGGGACATCACTGCGGGTCCTGGGACCTCATGGTTGCACATGTTGGGTACCGACTGACCTGTCCCTTCCTTTTCTGTTGTCCAGGATCCTATGAGTGTGGAATCTGTGGCAAGAAGTACAAATATTATAACTGTTTCCAGACCCACGTACGGGCACACCGAGGTGAGTGGGGCAGGGCTGAGGGCCACACCTCCCCGTTCTCTGTCTGGTGTTCTCCCTGTGCCCCTTGGGGATGACCTCGGACCCCCCTCCCCCAGAGCTGCAGTCCTCTCCCTCTTTCTGCAGCAGGCGGGAGACCCAGGCGGACAGGAGAGGCCTCCTTAACTTGGGAGAGCACACAGGGCTGGCGGGGGGAGAGGGGATGGGAGGTCATGCCACCAGACTTCTGTCACCAGTGCCCCTGCCTGCCCCACGCGGGCCCGCTTCCCCCCAGGATGCTTCAGTGCCGCCTGGTGTGGCGGCCCCTGCAGGGAAGGTGCTCGCGGGTCCATCTGGTGTGCTCTTCGAGGCGGCCCTGGGGCGGGGCGCCAGGTTTAATGAAGATGTGAGGGGACGGGGAGATGGTCCAGGAGGAAGGGTGCTGGGTCAGGGGGCACGGAGAAGGGCTGTGAGGCTGTGTGCGCTGCATCCTGTATGCGCAGAGAGCGTTCTGGGCACACGGTGGTGGGTGGACCGCCTGCCCTTGCTCTTCTTGCTCTTTTGGCACGGCCCGGCCATGGGTCCAGTCCGCTCACTTCCCTCTCATTTTCTCTCTCTTATAGACACTGAAGCCACCTCAGGGGAGGGAGCCTCCCAAGGCAGTGAGTATTTCCCCTCGCTCTTGTCCCTCAGGACTGCCCTCTGGGAGACACGTTGCTGTGGTTCAGGCTGTGGGGCCGGCCACAGGGTCTTTATGGAATTGTAGCAACCTCAGAACAACCTTTCCCAAGGTGTGTCCCACGGCCCACGGCCTAGGGCGGCAGATAGGTGTTCCATCAGCAAAGGGTTCTCTGGTCAGATAACCCGGGGCAGCCTTGGGTTCCACTCAGATGAACACGTTTCTTTGCTGTGGACTTCTCGGGGCTCTTCACGGGCAAGCAGTCACGTGCGGAACCCAGTGTATGCATCATCTCCTCCTCTGTTCTTTTGACTCCCAATTCCTGGATGGGCCTGGGGCTTCATGGCTGATGTTTGGGAAATGCTACTTCGGAGAGTTATCTCACGAACACCCACGGGCACTCGTCTCTGGGGTGTGCCATCCCAGCAGCGCCTGGGGAGCCACAGGGCCTCGCCAGCTGAGGACAGTGTTCTGCTTTGCTGTTCGTGGGCCCTGCTCGCCCTGCCCCCAGGTCTAAACCCACGGGCCTGGTAAGAAGCCAGATGAGTGTAGGCTGGGGCGGAACCTCTCCCCAGCCAACAAACCTGAGCTCCAGAACCCAGCAGTTCCCCTCCCAGGTGTATCCCAACCGAACTGTGTGCACGTGGCCACCAAAAGACGGCGACTCGGGTATTCTTAGCAGCCGTGTTTGCAACAGTCCCACACTGGAAACCACCCGAGTGCCCAGTGCTCGGAGTGGACAGATAAGTCGTGTTCACGTGAAGCAACGAGGGAGAAAGACGTACAGCCACACCTAGCCACACAGATTACCCACAAACACTGTCAGCAAAAGAAGCCCGACACAGAGTTCCTCCTCTAACGTCTGTGCACGGGCAGTACGAGATCGGGGAAAGTAATTCGTCCTGGAAGAAATCGTGGGCAGGGGTTTCTGGGTGCTCATGGCGCAGGCGTTTTTGGTTTATGAAAATTGGAGGAGCTGAACAGGTTTCTGCATTGGGGTCAGCGGACCCTTCCGTGGGGACCAGATAGTAAATGTTTTAGACTTTGCAGGCCATGCATCTCTGTCCCCACCACTCAGCTATGCCATGCCGCATGAACACAGCCAGAGACAGACGGAAATGAATTTTTCACCAGAACAGAGGGTGGGCAGCCCATAGTTCGTCAGCCTGTTCCTCCTGCCATAAAAGGTTTTTAAAAATAATAAACATGCCCAGGGGCGCCCGGGTGGCTCAGTCTGTTAAGCCTCTGAGTCTTGGTTTAGGTTCAGGTCATGGTTCTTGCAGTTCGTGAGTTTGAGCCCCGCATCAGGCTCCACGATGACAGTGCGGAGCCTGCTTGGGATTCTTTCTCTCCTCCTCTCTCTCTGCCCCTCCCCTGCTCGCTCTCTCTGTGTCTCAAAATAAGTCAGCTTAAAAAAGTTATTTTTTTAAATTATAGACATGACCAAAAAAAGTCTAAAACAAAGCAGTTTGAGGAGGTGTATGAGCTAAAGCAGGGCCTTAATTGCACTGGGTCCAAAAAGCATTTCCCATCCATTCTCTCTTTGGATTCCCACAGCACGTGAGAGGCAGGCAGTGCTGAGGCTAAGCTTCCATTTTCCAGACATTCGAGGCTCAGGTAGGTCAGACACCTGCCTGAGGGCCACGGCTAGGAGGTAGTGAATGCTTGTCCCTCCTCTCCGAGCCCTGCCCCAGCCTGGCCCCTGGCTCCCTTCCTCTTCAAAAGCTTCCTTCTCTTCCGGCTCCCATGGTCTGCCTGTGGTCAGCCACACATTTAAAGATCTTCTCTATTTGTCTTTCCTTCCTTAGCTATTCTGGGCCCCTGGCCTCTCCGGCAGCCCCTCAATGATCCATTGTGTTCCATCTGGCTTCCGTGGTTCCCGGAGGCCCACTGGCTGTTGAGGACTCTGTAGCCAAGGGTATTTTTAGTCCTTCCATTACTTTTGCCTTCCTCCCGAGGGAATTTTCTCCCCATGGCCACTGTGCTTTATTTTATTCTCAGTCCTGCACCCCTATCCTGACCCAAGCCAGCAGTGCCTGCTTAGAAAGCCTGGCATCCTCACAACACCAGCCTCGTGACAGGAGCCTGACCGTGGAGTCCTGGAGCCAAAAGCATCATGTTGAGAATACCAAGTCCAGCCTACCCATTTTGCAGATGGGGACACTGAGTCCCAGAGAGAACTCATGCAGCTTGTTAGTAATGGAGGTGGGCATAGAAACCAGGCCTCACGCCTTCTAGTCCAGGGGTCTTTCATTTAGCTGTTAGAAAAATTATATCATCATAAATGGAGGCATATATGCGCTCACCCGTATCCTAACTAAGAAAAGAAAAGCTTAACTCCGTGTCTACTTCTGTTGCAGCCGTTACGTTGATTCCCTTTCCAAAACGATATTAGGCAACATTTACCAGGTATTTGTTGTCGGTTGGGCATTGTGCTCTGTTCATTTTTCATTACAACTCGGAGATGAAGGAACCGTCTCATTCCCATTTTGCAGATGAGAAGACCAAGGCGCTCAGGTTAGGGAGTGTGTCCAGCGTTAGTTGTGCTTATTGGCATCCGAGTTGGGTTGGAGTCATGCAGCCCCACTGCAGAGTCTGTCTCTCCAGATGGATTCGTGGTGCCCTTCCGGGAGACATTGCTGAGCTCTCTTGGAGGCTCTGAAAGTGTCGTTTCATTGACAGAAAATTATTTTGCCTTTCTTCCTGTGGGGATAACTCTTTGCTTCTCATCTACTCCTGTCTTAGGTAGGCCTGGCACTGTGGTCCCCACCCGCATTGAGAAGAGGTCGCGGTATGGGATTCGACAGAGCAGGGCGAAGGCGCGTCTCAGTGGCAGAAAGCTGGGGGTTCACCGTTTATTGGAGGTGGTAGGAGGGGCCATGTGAGCAGATGTGAGACGAGTGTGGCCGGCAGCTGCGGAGTGCGACTGGCACTGGCTGGTATGGGAGAGGAATTTCTGGGGCGGGGCCCCATCTGGAACCAGCAGATCCTGGATGCCCTTGACTTCTCCACCTGCTCCCCAGTATCCAGCACTGAGAGAGGATTGTGGTCCAGATGGGACATGGAGAGGGGAGGTTATTGTCTAGGCTGGATCGGAACTTGAGCCAGGCTTGGAATCCTAGAATGGCCGGCCTGGGAGAGAGGCCCTGGGAATCAGCTCATTACTACCTTCCTGTCCCCTCACATTAGGGGGGAAAGAGCAGAAGGTGAATCCCGAGGTGGGGTCAGCCCTTGCTGGCAGTCTGGATGAGGCAGAGCAGGACCAGGCCTCTCCTCTGCTCTCCACCTCTTCTCCCCCCACTCCCCTCCACTGCCTGGCTGGTTCAGGTGTGGGCACAGAAATGGTAGGGCCTGGTGGGATGGTGGCATGCCGGGTCCCCAGACCCTCAGAGCGAGTGTGTGTGCTGACGCTGTGTGCCTCTCACTTGGGGACCAGTTAGGCTCTGTGGCAGATGCCAGGGCACTTTGGGAGATCACAGGTGCAGTCTAAGAGGTGGGGGCAGAGTCAGGGAGATGGCCGATGTCATCTGTGCCCCTAAGTTCAGCTAAGCAGGGACCAGAACCTTCCCATAGAATTTCCTGGCATTGCAGCGTCGGGATGGAGGGAGCCTCCTCAATCCTGTATTTGAGTGCTGGGGAGCAGAAGGAGGGCCAGAAGGCTGGTGCCTCAGTCAGGAGCGGAAGGTGGGCTTATCCAGGCAGAGACAGGCCATGTGCCCTGATTCAGCTATGGCGTGGAACTGAGTGAATATTTGAATCTTGGCTATGCCTCGCCCCACTGTGCAGCCTTGAGTAAGCCACTCTGTCTCCCTGTGCTGGACATAGTCCGGAAGGTGAGGTGGGCGGGTCATCCCGAGATCTGCCCAAGGAAGACACACAGGACGTCTGTGCTAGTGCGTGGTGAGAGCAATGTCCTGAGAGAGTCCCGCCCCAGAATTTGGATAGACCTAGGTAGGAATCATCCGAACTCTGGCCCTGTGTGCATTATCTATTGCTGTGGAACACACCGCCCCACGGCTGAATGACTTAAACAAACATTGGTTTATGGTCTCATGAGGCACGTGAGGCATTGGCCAGGACTGTGGTCTCCTCTCAAGGCCCAACAGGGAAAGGCCCAACCTCCACACTCACGCACATGGCTGTTGGCAGGATCCTTCCCAAGTTGTTGGACCGAGGGTGTCACTTCCCCCCTGGCTGTTCACCAGAGGCTCCTGTGTGGCTCTCTCTCTGTGGCAGCTTACAACATGGCAGCTAGCATGAGGCAGGCGGTGTGAGAGAGACAGAAGTCGCGGGCTTTTGTAACCTGATCTCAGAAGTGACATCTTATCACTTCATTCCCTTCTCTTTATTAGAAGCAAGTCACTAGATCTGGTTCAGACTCAAGGGGAAGAGATCATACAGGGGTAAACGCCAGGAGGCCAGGGTCTTTGGGAAGCTGCCTACCACAGGCCCTCCTACCTGTGGGGCTTGGGACAGACAGGTCCCTTCTGAACCTCAGCCTACCTGTGTGTTAAATGGCTTACTTCTTGGAGCGCCTGGGTGGCTCAGCCGATTGAGCGTCCAACTTTGGCTCATGTCATGACCTCTCAGTCCCTGAATTCAAGCCCCGCATCAGACTCTGTGCTGACAGCTCAGAGCCTGGAGCCTGCTTTGGATTTAGTATCTCCCTCTCTCTCTCTCTGCTCTTCCCTGGCTCATTCTCTCTCTCTCTCTCTCTCTCTCTCTCTCTCTCTCTCTCTCAAAAATAAATAAACATTAAAAAAAAATTTTTTTTTTTAATGGCTTACTTCTTTCCCCTCAGTCACAAGAACCAATGGAGGAAAGACAGGAAGTGCCTGGTCTGGCACCTTGCGCATGCAGAGCCTCAAGAAGGGAGGTGGGGTCAGGCCGTTTTAAGGTCTCAGCTCACAGAGTGGGATTGCGGTTTGGTTTGAAAGTCGCTTCAGCACCCTCCAGTCTCCTTGTGGAGAGGACCCCTAACATCCCCCGCACTGATTCTCCGTGGCTCACCAGCTGGGGCTAGTCTGGGCTAGTCTCATGTTTGGGTCGTGAAGCCGATGAGCTGGCCCAAAGAAACCCCACCCGAGTGACCGAAGTCCTGGTAACTACACGTGTCTCTCTGTCCCCCGCAGACAATTTCAGGTACACATGTGACATCTGTGGAAAGAAGTACAAATACTACAGCTGCTTCCAAGAGCACCGGGACCTGCACGCGGTGGATGGTGAGTGAGGCCCCTCACTGCTGGGAAGTAGAGTCAGATAAAGAGGAGCACCCCCCCCCCCCCCCCCC